TAGAAGAAGACAGTGGCCGCCCATCAACGGCTCTGAATCACTAGCTCAGACCAACGGCAAAGGCACCCCCACAAACCAAGGTGTGCCCTCCTCCCAAAAAGTAGGGTCGAGATGAGCACTCAAGATGCCGTGCCCATGGTGTAAAGATGTGATGCAGACAACTCATGCTTCAACATCCATGCACCACAGACACACTCGGTTACCAGCCAAAACAGGCGACTGAGCCACGTCGCCAGGACGACAACGAACAAGTTCCTCCATGATATGCACCCTTATCACATGAAGCTGCAGCACCTACACATCGTGGACGCCACCATGAACCTACGAGCTAGACGATGCCCCACAGATTCTGCAAGCCGCCAGTCAGGGCTCACATGAGAGCAGTAACATGCTTGCTGTTATCCCCGCTTCCACCAAATCTACGGCAATACCACCGCCAGACTCCTCATACCATCACTGGCGCCACCCCACGTAAGCTACAACAAGCTGCAACATCAGGAGACTCCGCTCACACACGTGCCTGGAATTCAGCTAGTTGGTCCAGATCTAATATTTTCCTAGATACAATGATGGACATTTTCCAAAAAATAATATGTCGGTCTGTATGATACTATCAGAATTTAAACATTTTCTTTCAAATAAGACAATGGTTTCTAAATTCCAAATTGAGAGAAAATTCAAGCTTACAAATACAAATTTATGCAAGGTGAAATTGATGTAACATGAAGCAAAAGTGCAAAACTCGTATGCAATGGAAGAAAGGATACTAGTAATAAGAGTACCTTCTTAGTGAAGAGGTCAAGTGCCGCATCATCTTTTAGACCATCAAGACAGTACATGTTCTTACATGCTCTTGAACAATGTTTGGCAATGCTTTTTTCTCTTGTGGTGACTATGATCCTTCCAGCATTATCTAAACACTGTTTGACTAACTCCCATTCAGAAGTGGACGATATATCATCAAGAACAATGAGACACTTTTTTAGTTTTAGTACCCGAGCTAGCTCCTGCTTCAACTCTTGAAGATTCATCACTGTTATACTATTTTTTCCCTCTCTGGATGTTGTTGCTCCAGCAGGATCTTCTTGAATAGTATTCTGAAGCTGCAAAGCCAAATCCCTAAGGAGTACTTCCGGGTTAAAAGGACGCAAGGCAGTGGCCCAAGCACGCTTCCACCACCAAGCTGTTGGCTTCGGTAGATGCTTCGGACAAGAGTGGTTTTTCCAAGGCCCCCCATTCCCCAAACTGATATCACCTTATGTCCTTCATTGTGGTCTGGTTGGCCAACTAATTTGATAACAACAGATTTCTCTGTTTCTCGCCCACAGAGCACTTCATCACCCAGTGCCAATGTCCTGCTGCGATCAAACTTCTTTCTACCAGTTGAGTTATGAAAATTTTCTTCAATCCCATTGTTATATTCTTGGTTCACTAAAAATATTTCATCGATGGGAATTATTGTGTTCTTGTTGGTAGCAACTTTGTTTGAATCAGAAATTGGCTCGACAGAACATGATGCACGCATATCCTGAAAAAAAAAGATCTATGAGCATTTATGTACTTGTCCTCTACACATTATACATATAGACTACCCTCATGTCTTTCAAAATATTGGGGATTTTCAAGTGCACACTTCTAGTGAGGGCAGTATGCACAACAGAATTATCTAAGTTCATAAATATCCATAGTTCAGCTTCACAGCAAAATGTGTTTTTTTAATTAGCATAAATTCTACTACAAGGTACGATTTCTCAAATATGTTTGAGCACCAGGATTGGCTCATTCATAATGATGCACGCATGGGGTGCATGCTTGTGTGTGCGGATAAAAGGAACAAGTACCGAACATTTACACAACCAAAATATAATCCATAAACATGCAATTCAGTATTTGAATTTCAATTAGCTGGCAGGGTCCCACCTTCAGTTTCTCCTTCTCCACAGCAGCAAGCCTTACTTCATCACTGGTATCAAACATTGCCACATTAGCACTGCCCACGCTGACCGGATTCTCTGTATTCTGCAACTAAACATGAAATGAAAAGAAGAATCAATCATCCATAAAGAAAATAAATAAATTTATAACATGATAAACCAAGAAAAATAAATATCTACCTTCTTGTGGAACAAATAAATAGTTTGATCACACGACAACTGCTTGAACTCCGAAACTTGATACAGTTTCTCTGTGCACAAGCTTGCGATTTCAGCTTGCTGCGTGGAAACGATGATTCTACTTTGTTTCTTGTTATCGGGAAAGTACTTCTTAACGCAATGCCACTCCACTATCGTGGATAGATCATCAATTACGATCAGGTAGCTATTGCTAAACAACTCTGCTTTAAACACACGAACTAAATCATTCGGATCCATCTTCTCCATCTTGGCCAGAACATCAGCCCCGACATTTGTTTCTTGTTCAAGCTTTCCAACATCATGGGAATTTTCATAAAATTGCCTTACCAAGCTCCGCAGGAACTCTTGTGGATTGAAAGGATGCACCAACCTAATCCAAGCACGAAAACCAAACTTTTTCAATATCTTTGGGTCATCATAAACCTCCTGGATCGCGGAAGTCTTCCCGAGATCACCGCTAGTTCCCCACACGGCGATCACCCTAAGGTCCACATCGTTGCTGGTAATCAGCTTGTGGATATTCACCTCTGATGATCTTTCATGCTCCAAGGTGGCAATCATTGGTTCGTTGATGCCAAACATTGCAGCGGTGGCGCTGCTGGCCTGCTCCTCTGCCGCAGTAGGGTTGGAGCCTGAGCTCTCCTTGATGAGGCGATAGCGCTGGTTCCTGTTGCTCACGTCCTCCACCTCGGCCCTCAACTCCTTCACCTCCTTGCCAATGCGGTGTCGATCACCTGGGTTACAGGGGATGCACCCCAAGAATGGCTTTTTCTCTGAGTGGAGGCCAAAATCCATGAGGCTGTCCTCCACTTTGTAGGACAGGACCCCGATCTGTTTCACCCAGGTGGCGAGCACCTTGTTCTGGCTTTGCTCCTCATCCGCAGTCATCAGGAAGGACTGCATCATCTGCAGCTCGTCCTTGATGAAGTTCACATCGCGCTCGACACCGAGCTGCAGCGCGATTTCCTCCGCCGCCTTGGACGTGGCATAGCCCAGTGCGCCACCCAGCGCGGCCTTCCCCAAGGTCACCCCCGTCGCCTCCATGGCTCTGCTTCCTCCTGGCTATGATGTGGAGGTGTTGGTGGTAATGGCAGATGTGAGTTGAGCTAGCAGCTGACAAGGGCGGGTGGATTAGTAAAGGGAATCCATACCACTAGGAGGCTTATGTCAAGTTGGCATTTTTCCTCTTCTTCATTACAAGGCTCGAGGCATCATCATGTGCGCTGCAGTCCTAACAGAGTAATTTAGTTACATGGCCGGTTCTGAAATTGTGATTAAACAAACTGCAGAGTTACATGTACCCTTTCTTGATTACAGTGAGCACATTTGACGCAGCGACTGACTCGAGCTCAAGGAGGATGAATCTTTTACTGCAGAGTTGTCGTCCACTTGCTGTTGTCAGTCTCAAAGTATATTTACTGTATTATTAGTCGAAAGAATAAAGCATAATTAAGTTGTACCTTCACTGCTGGGAGCTCGCCAGAGACGCAACCGCTCATGGCGTAGGTATTCTGGCCCTAGGTAACGCACGCGAGGGCGCCGCCGTGCGCCGCCGCGACCCAACTTCCCGAGCCCGCTCACCGAATGCCATCGCACTCGTCGCCGCCGCCGCCCTACCGTCGAAGGGGCACGAGGGATTTGGGGGAAGTCGCGATTACTTGTGTGCTCGGGGGAACCGAGCCTTGGACTTACGCTTACGTGGTGTGAAAGCGTATTCTTGCAAGATTACGTGTCTATCAGTACTTGCGACGTGATTGAATTTTACTTGTAACTTTTTTTTACGGGAAGGCATTCATGACTAGCTTTATTAACTCAAACCAAACTTATAACAAAGAAATAATAAAGCTAGGAGGTGCATTCGATCACAAAGTCGGTGGATTACTCCTTCCAAACCTAGCTAGCTCATGAGCAACCATATTTGGCTCCCTGGTTTGTATCGGGGGCAGGCATCGGGGGCAGGCATCGGCGGCTTGCAGGTCAGGGTAGCCGCGGGGAGAACCATTGGCCGGTTGCAACGACCCGACGGTTGGTGGCGGAGGTAGCCGTCGGGAGGATCGCGGGGCGATGGCGTGAACCGTGGGTCACAATGTGTGACGTCCCGAAGGGGCGTCAGCGGGAGCACGCGCGGTTCGTTGCAGCCGGCGGGATGACCTCAGGGTGGCGATGCAGCAATCCGAAGGGGCGACACGACGACAACCTGTGGCTCGATCGGCGGTAGGCGCGTGCTCAGGGACGGCCTGACGAACACAGGTGCGTGATCGGTTGATCAGACCGACGGCGGCATTGTACGCACCATGGTGGGGACAATGTGCAGATCGGAGTCGATGGTGACGTTGTCGGTGATGTCCCGGGCGATGACGACGAAGACGGACCTACAATGGAGACCACGCGAACGAGCGACCGGCAGTGATGCACGAAGGCGTCGGTTGGGCGGCGTGTCCAGCCTTGCAGCGCGGTTGATGACGAAGCGACCGGTGCAGAGTCGACGCCGATGTCGGAGTAGAGATACGGGGGTTGACAGCGGCGGCGGACGATGCAAACCAATCTATAGATTGGAAAAACAAAAGGTAAATGCCGATCAAAGTGACCGCGCGAGAGAGAAAACCTGGAACAAAGGATCGGGAAAAAGATTCTCTAAGGCAACTTGTTAACACGAACTGCAGACGAACCCTAGGTACGGGCGACACGGCCCCTGCGGCGGTCATGGAGGCCGACCGCCCTGGGGGCGGTGCGCAGGGTGGAAGCGGCGGGCGGCGGCTAAGATTTGGATCGGTTAGGCTGATACCATATATATATATACGTACATAGTCAACTTGAAGTACAAGACAAAACCAGAATATATCCTACTCTATCTCATACTCCCTCCATCCCAAAATGAGTGTCTCAACTTAATTTGTACAAGCTGTAGTATAAATTTGTATTAAACTCAAGACATTTATTATAGAACTGAGGGAGTATTTCCTAACTAATCATAATATTCAACACTTACGACAAAACCATCGGAAAACTACTACTCCCTCCGTCCCAAAATAAATGTCTCAAGCTTAGTATAATTTTGTACTAGAGTTGGTAAAAAGTTAAGACAGGCGGAGGGAATATTGTTTTGGCACAAATCAAAAAACTACTAGAAATGTATTCATGCATTCGCTTTTGCATGTGGGCGAGCATGGCATTCTCACTAGCCAGCCAGTAGCTAGGCAGTGAGCATCTTTTGCAGCATCCGATGTCGAACCAGGTGGCGAATAGAAAGCCCCGATCTAGCATGTCTTCGCATCAACCGAGCTTGGATCGACGCTCTTGACCAATCTAAGGGCATCTCCAGCCGCGCCTTCACAAAAGGCTTTCTAGACGTTTTTTTCGCGCCGGCGCCGAAAAAACGGTCCAGTCGCGTCCTAGGAGCCCGATTTTCGCCGGCTTGGGTCGAAAACAGCGCCGGCGGACCCAGCCCGAACCCGGCGTGCTGGAGGACGCCCGGGGGCGCCGGTCGAACTGTTTTGGCGCGAAAAAGCCGCGGGCCCGCCGCGTCAGCGACACGGCTCTCTTCTCGGCCCTTCGTCGTCCTCATCGCCTCGTTTCCCGCGGCGAATCAATGCCAAAGCGCCGCGCGCTGCCGCGCCGGTCAGCCTGCACCATTGATGCCTCAGTGAAGACCGGACGACGCGCGTCCCTCGCCCTCCCTCGCCCGCCACGCGTACACACGGTGGCACGCGCCGCCTCGGCCTATATATGACGCGCCCCGGCGCACTCGACGACTCACACTCTCCCGCCGCCGTCGTTCCTCCCTCTCCTCTCCTCTCTTTCGTCGTCTCCAGCTCACACCCATGGCCGAGCGCTTCCCAGGCGACGGCGCGGCGGCGAACGGCTTCGGCCGCCGCCATCTTCATGAAGACGAGGCTCGCCTCCTTTACGAGGCCGAGTACCCGGTCCCGCCGGACATGTGGGTGCCCGAGGCATGGAGGATCAGCGCGGGCGGCGTGCCGGTGCCCCCGGTACCCACCGGCGCGGCGCGGCGTGCGAAGATCGCACGCATCCGCTCGAACCTGCCGCGTGCGGCGAGGGAGGGGCCACGGTACGTCCCCGACAGCCCGCTCTGGGAACCTTACTTCCGCCGCCGTCACGCCCAGCAGCTCGAGGCCACCAACGGCGTCGTGCCCTCCGGCAGGCTCAACGCCGCCGGCCGGCGTCAGTGGTGGGGCGTGCCCGGGCGCATGTTGGAGGCCGTCCTCGAGTACATCGAGGGCGGCAACACACCGCGCCTCGAGTACCCCGCTCCCCCTTCCTTCTCACGCCGCCGGGGAAGCTCCTGGGCCCCGAGGCGCATGGAGACCGGGGGGTCCTCCTCCTCGTCCGGCGGCTCGCCCTGCCTCCGCCCCGTCAAGCCGGAGCCCCAGGACACGCCGGTCAGCGCGCGCACCCGCAGCTCCGGCGTCCGCATCGGCGCCAACGCCTCTCCACCCACCGGCCGCTTCGTCCTCGTCGAGCCCAAGCCGGAGCCCGGCCTCCCCGCGGAGTACAAGGAGACAGCCCGGCGCGGCTTCTCCGACGAGGACGCCATGCGGTGGGCGCGGGACGACTACCTCCGCGACGAGATGGTCCGGCAGCGCCCGGCCCTGGAGGAGATCGCCGCCCGCAAGCGTGGGCGCGAGGACGAGCACGACGTCGTGGTCCTCGACAGCGACGACGACGACGACGACGCCCCCGGACCGTCCAACCCGCCGCGCCAACCGGGAAAGGGATGCAGCAGGGACGGCGGAGGCGGAGGTGGGGGCGGCGACGACGATGACGACGACGGCGGTGACTACACGTGGTTCTACAGCCTCCTCGGCATGTAGAACCGCGTGGGCGGGCGGCGAGGGAGACGGCGGGGGTAGCCCGCGGTAGTTTTTTTTCTTTTTTTGTAAAATATGTTTAAGTTTGAACAAACTCGCCGATGTTTACGTTAAATTTGAGTCGTTTTTGGGCCGTATTTGACTTTTTGACTAACTGTGGGCGCCGCGACTGGGGAACATCACGCCCCCAATGCGCGGTTTAGAGCCGGTGCGCCCCAGGGGGCGATTTTTTGCCCCTCCCGGGGGGCCAACGGCTGAGGATGCCCTAAGCCTGCACGCTGCGACCGACGCACACCAACTCTCTACCCCGTGTGTTTGTCTTCCTGACCTTTTTTTGGATGGGCGGCAAGTGCACTCTTTAAAATTTTGCATCTTGTGCGCAGAAAAGGAGCGAAGCACATGGAATGCGATGATACAGACAAAAACTTGTTTTTCTTTACAATTTTCAAGGTAGATGTACTCAGTGCATGCTGCCACCATAGTACCAAAGGCTGCATTGAAAACATACTCCCTCCGTTTCTTTTTAGTCTGCATATAATATTTGATCAAAGTCGCTTTGCATAGTTTGACTAACTTTATAGTAAAAAACACCAATATTCACAATATGAAATCAATGTTTTCAAATGCATCATGAAATGTATTTTCATATTATATAGTTTAAGTATTGTAGATGTTTATATTTTTTAATATAAATTTGATCAAACTTTGTGTAGTTTGACTTTGATCAAAACTAATACGCGGAGTAAAAAGAAACGGAGGGAGTACATCTCCAAATAGATTTATGAAAACGATGATAATGAAGACAAGTAGGGCTGTAGGGGTAGTTAAAATAGACAAACTGCAGCAATAGGGGGTTCTGTTGTTACGTTTTCAGAGAAAGCAGAATTGTTTAGCCTGAACAAACTGCAAAACACTGCACAACGAAAGGAGCAAAGCACTGCACGCCGCTGGGAGCCCACAGCCTCCCAGCAGTCAGTGGCTGAAGACGCGAGAGACACCACGCCTGACGCTGCGCAGCAAGCCAAAAGTGAGAGAGCAGCAGAGACGGAGACCCCTATGGGTGTTTCCACTCATGGTGTTAAAAGATACTTTCTCCGTCCGGAAATATTTGTCGGAAAAATTACAAATAATTTTTAGAAAGAGCGTGTAATCGGTTGTGGTGGGTCTGGAGTAGTTTATAAGGTATGATCATTACCACTTGCATGTTTTATACTA